AGCTTGTAATTAGTTTTCTTATTTGCTAATCTCGACTTTTACTATTTGCAGGCAGTCACAATGAAATACTCACTGTAACGTTCGTGTATTTAGGGGTTAGTCAAAAGACTTTAATTACACGTGAAAATGCAGCTGTGTACTTTTTATTTTTCTCCAGATAGTGATGTACGATACAATCTCATACCAATACATTTTCTGGGTGCTTTCACACAAAACATTGATGGGTGCGTTCATACAATATATTGTTGGGTACATTCATACAATACATTTATGAACGCATTCATACAATATTTTGATGGGTGCATTCATACAAAACATTGATGGTGCGTTCATACTTTCCACCTAATATTCAATACTGCCCAGGCAGTGACATTTATCGACTAACAATATTATTACACGCTTTTTTTTTATTTTTTACTTAACAATTTATCAAATTAACATCGGTTATAAAGTAAGCAATAATCTAATATGTTTCATATGGTAGTTACATCAAGTTAATTCCAACCATATCTTTGAGGTGCACGACTAGCGCGCCCGCTACAAGTTCTCCTAACCTCCGGTTCCTTTGCAATAGCCGGTTCGGGTGTCTCTTGACCGCTTGCCGATTCTGCTTCTGAATCAGAACTGCCAGCAGTTTGATATTCATCTGAAGATGCATTACTCTCGTTCAACACTGGCAGGACTGGTTCATTCACATAGGAATCAATTGGCTTTCTGCCACTGTTAACGCTATCTTGTATGTCGCACGCAAGTGGCGGTACAATTTCGATTGGTTTTACATTACGCGGCTCTGACACATTACGTTTAATATTTTCTTCAAACATTATCTCATCCCCACTGACTTCATTATTTTTTGTCTTGGCAATAAACCGTCGGTTGCGTCTAAATTAATTATCAAAATTGTCCCTAACAATATATGATCGACCATTTACATTGCCTGCAATTATCCCGTGGTTCCACACCTTCCCATTCTTCTTAAATATAACAAGATCACCCATGTTTAAAACTGGCAATGCTTTTGCGTTCCGGTCGTAATAATACTTTTGCTTTTCTTTTTTTTCTTTAATTTTGTTCTGAACAGTTTCCTCACTTAGATTGTTGCGACCCAGCAACGAATTCTTGTTTTTATCAAACGACCAAAGAACAACTCTGACGGAACCAATCGCATGCCTGCCAAAGGACTTGAGTTATACTCCAAAATACTATACTGATAATTCTCCGTATCCCGGTCCTCAACACACCGTTTCGAAATATTTTTCGCTATCGCGATACCTTTTTCGGCTAGCCCATTGCTTTGTGGATACCGAGGGCTCGAGAATTTCATGACAATATTGTGACCATTCGCAAACTCCTCAAACTCTCTAGAATTAAATGGCACATTGTCTGCTTTGGTTACCGTCGGATATCCAAGTTTGTTGAAATTACCTTTCAATTTTTCAATAAGGTGGCGTGCTGTTTTGTTTCTACGATTAGGTATCCCAAATACGAATCAATTAAAGACATAAAATCCTGCCCCGCATATTCAAACAAGTCAATTGCCACCAAATGAAATGGATACTTCGGCAGTTCTTCCTGAACCAGTTCTTCTTTTTGATTGTTACGGGTAAACTTTTCACAAATGGCGCAAGATGTTAAAATTTCCTTTATCTGACTACTCATGTTGGGCCAGTAGTACAGCATTCTTGCCCGTGCAAGAGTTTTTTCAATTCCCAAATGTGCCGCATGTAACCACTTACTGAGTTTATCTTGCAACTCCTTTGGAATTACCAGTCTATGATCACGAAAAAGTAAGCCATTCTCAAAATGAAGTTCATTCTTAAACTTGTGAAACACACGGCTCAGATCGTCAAGTAAATGATAGTTTGGCCAACCGTTTTCCACATATCGACAAATTCTCAACAATTGCTCATCATGTTCAAAGGTTGAACGGTACAAATCAAAAATTTGTTTTGATAAATATGCCGATTTAGTGACTGAATGAATAATTCCAGTTAATTCCGTATCTTCCGTACATTCTGACAATTAGGTTCATGAAAGGCAGTCGGCCACAAGCATTTCTTTTGCGGGTTTGTAAACTACTGTCATTTTGGGATATCTCAAAAGTGACATGAACATCCGCTGAAGTCGCATTGTTACATCGTCAATATCCCGTTTGATCAACGTCTCCAATGGTTTGTGATCACTCTCAACCGTAAACTCACGACCATACAAAAAATAATGAAACCGCTGACAAGCGAAAACGATGGCCAACAATTCCTTCTCGATCTGAGCCCATTTTTGTTCACTTTTACTTAACGTTCGAGATGCATATGCTACTGGGTGTCCGTTTTGCACACGACCCAGCCCATCTCTTGATGCATCCGTTTGCACAATGACCCGTAACTTAGGATCATAGATAGCCAACACAGGTTCAGATGTTATGATATTAAGCAATTGTTTAAACTCCAATTCATGATCTTCCATCCATTTAAATTCGACATCATTACGCGTTAAGTTGCGCAACCCCGCTGATTGCTTTGACAAATTAGGAGTAAATTTTGCCACATATTTAAGAATGCTCAAAAATCTTAGAACGCCCGCTTTATCTACCGGTTTTTTCATTTCCAAGATTGCATCCCGATACTTGAAATCCGCTTTAAATTTTCCTTCCGACATAATATTTCCCATAAATTTGATTGCCCGTTTTCTATATTGGATTTTATCCGGATTAAACTTAATATTATTTGCCCGCGCTCGTTCAATTACTTTATTCATGATGCGATCATGTTTTTCTTCCGTTTCCCCGCAAATACCTATATCATCAAAATAGATTATAACTCCCTCAATGTCTCCAAACATTCTAATCTTTTCACGCTGAAAAAATTCCGGAACAAAATTAAGCCCGAATGGCACGCGATTGAATTTAAACCTCCCAAACGGAGTCATGAACGTTGATAAATTAGAACTTGCTTCGTCTAATTCCATTTGCCAATAACCACTATTCAAATCAAGAACCGAAAAAATTCTTTTATTTTCCAAACCCGACATTAAGTCATCAACCGTCGGAATCAAAAAATGTTCCCGCCTAATACCTTCATTGAGTGGCTTAGGATCTAAACAAATTTGAGGTAGGCTTTTCAACTATCTGTACATTGTTGACCCAGTCGGTGGGGTAATCCACGGGTGCAATGATTCCATCCTGTACCATTTTATCAAGTTGCGACTTCAATCTATCTAACAATGACATTGGTATCCGTTTCTTATAGTGCAGGACTGGTTTGGAGTTTTCTTTCATATTTATTACGAACTTTCCCGGAAATTTACCCAAACCCTCAAAAACATCACGATTATTTTGCAAAAACTCCTCCCTTGTTTGTGACAAGCACACGACCGACCCTACATCAGTTCGACTTACCAATCCAAATCTTTCACATGACTCGAGCCCTAGAATCGGTTCGCACACGACATCAACAACAATAAAGTGAGACGACTGTTCCGTTTTTGACTGTTCATCCAAACATTTTAATTTAACTGTTCCGAAAACACTTACTTTATTTCCATTATAATCATAAACCGAATAATATTCATTTTTATACCTTTCATGAGCATGAAATGGTATTATAACTTTGGTCCGATGTTTGTAAGTACCAGAACAAAAAGAGATAGACCCATTAAAATGCATACTTATATGATCAGAACGTCGAGCTGAGTTGATTTATCCATGTCCGTCTGTCCGTCTGTTTGTATGCAATCTTGTCTCTCAGTTTTCGAGATATCCGGATCAAATTTGGTAGGTGGGTGTATTTTTATAATGTATTAATCATTTGTCGGAACCGGAAGAATCTGACCACTATAACATATAGCTCCCATACAACTGATTGTTCAGATATGAGATTTTTCGTTATAACTTCACCATTTATGCAGCTACGAACATGAAATTTCGCAGAACTTGCACCCAATATCAACAGAATGCTTACAGTGAAAATTAAAAAGATCGGATAACAATAACCTATAGCTCCCATACAACTGATTGTTCAGATATGAGATTTTTCGTTATAATTCATCCATTTATGTAGCTAGGACCATGAAATTTCGCGCTGTTTTCACTCATTATCAGCAGAAGACTTACAGTGAAAATAACGAAGATCGGTTCACTATAACCTGCAGCCCCCATACAACTGATTGTTCAGATATGAGGTCTTTTATCATATCTCCTCCATTTATGCAGCTAGGAACATGAAATTTCGCACCATTTTCACTCATTATTAACAGAATACTTACAGTGAAAATAACAAGGATCGGGTGACTACAACATATATCTTCCATACATCTGATTGTTCAGATATGGGATTTTACTGTAAAACTCCTTTATTTGAACAGCTAAAAGCGATAAATTTCGTAAGATATTTTATAAATAATAATACAAAGTCTACTGAGAAAATCGTCAAAATCTATGCTGTATAAGCTTTATCTCCTATAGCACTGATTGTTCAGATACCAGTTTTTGCGATATATTTCCTTTATGTAGGAAACTAAACCCAATAAATTGTGTTACCGGTTTACATACCGATCACATAGCAGTGAAAATCACTTAGATTGGTGCCATATAAAGTATATCCTCCATACCTCTGATTGTTTAGAGGCGATTTTTTATATAAGTATGTAACTGCTCTACCGATGTATGCAGATGTATTCAAAATCAGTAATCTGTCAAACTAAAATTTGCAGATGTTCATGAAAGGTATGAAGCCTTCGGCATAGCCGAAGACAGCGCTGCTCTTACTTGTTGTTTTCTAATCTTATTCCAAAATTTGCAGAATGCAGTCCACATCCGATCCTGTATCAAGCTTAAACCTAACCAATTTATTCGCTATTCGGTATTCCTTGTACCATCGCTTCCTCTCATTTCCAACATAGTTTGAATTTATTCTATAAATACAATCTACCATAATAAACCTGTTCGCACTTTCATCAATGTTTTGTACAAAATTACCTGTGCCTTCCCAGTTGAGGGAGTGTTGCTATTGTTTTACATAGTTATAGCTGCTGTCCGGTTTCGTTCCTTTGTTGCCCGCTTGCTTTCCTTTTGATTTGCACCAACGTTGGAAATGACCTTTGCGTCCACATGATCGGCAATTGATATCTCTAGCTTTGCATGTTTCCAAATGCCTTGCTGCGAAATCGCCACCACAGTTATAGCAACGACGTGTTACTGCGTTGACTGTTTTCTTTGGCTCCTGTTCAGCCACACTCTTAACACTTGTTTGACTAGTTGTATTCAACAACGCCTTATGTGCATTTGCAGCCTCATACATCTTGCACGTTTCAATGACTTTCTGCAATGACTCATCCTTTCCTTCCAATAACTTCAATTGTAACTTCTTGTCATGCACACCAATGACAATTCGTTCCTTCAACATACGATCATTGTATGATTGTCCATCCAATTTGTATTCACAAAACTCAATTTGTTTGCGAAGCTCTGTTTCAAACTCTACAAAAGGCTGCTTTTCTTTTTGTACAATATTGTGAAATTTGAACGATTCCATTAGTATGTTCTTCTTTAGTATACAATATCCATCAAACGCTTTCAAAACATCATCCAGGGTTCGCGGATTATTATTAGCATTTGGTGACACAGCCTTAGCATTTTGATTTCCCAGAATCCCATCAGTTGTCCCATCGTTCGGGAACAATGTGTTGTATATCTCCATAGCTTGGGAGCCGAGTAACCACAAAAATGTTGCTATTTTTTCTGGTTCCGTTTTAACATTTTTCCCCGTTGCCATCATGTACATTAAAAATGTACGTTTCTACGTTGGCCACCCCTTCGCCAAATCTGCGCAATCCAATTCCGTTGGCAGTCGCTCGTTCGACATGAGCTTGAGTTAAATGTTCGAATTTTCAAACAATAATCCAAAATATTTACGACAAATATTTTTATGATGCTAAATTGGTGATTATATCGACTCTCCACCGCGTGATGTCTTCAAAATCCGACGAATTACAAAATGGCGTTCAATTTCCCAACAGGAAGCCTTTGTTCGATGCCGCATACAATTCGATTTTCGTTAATCCACAAAAATTCGCGATTGTCTTGGTAATCCACTTTCCAAAATATTTTCCAGTCGTTGTTTAATAATTTTCCTCCTGACACCATGTAGCGTTTGTGTATTTAGGGGTTAGTTAAAAGACTTTAATTACACGTGAAAATGCAGCTGTGTACTTTTTATTTTTCTCCAGATAGTGATGTGCGATACAATCTCATAGCAATATATTTTCTGGGTGCTTTCACACAGAACATTTATGGGTTCGTTCATACAATATATTGTTGGGTACATTCATACAATACATTTATGGCCGCATTCATACAATATGTTGATGGGTGCATTCATACAAAACATTGATGGTGCGTTCATACTATGCACCTAATATTCAATACTGCCCAGGCAGTGACATTGACTAACAATATTATTACACTCACCGCGGTCGGTGCCATAAGCTAGGGAAGCCCAAATCAGCACATATGTGTCGCGGGCGACTGCGCGTGCAAAGCTTTGCACAGCGGTGCTGGGCAAGCGCCATGATTCAATAATACAAGGTTAGATAATTATTGACAGCCGCGGTTTGACACTCCCTTACAAAAGGTTGCATTTACGAAGGAAAGAGAAAGGGCAAGAATGCAATCCCTTGTTGCGAAAATGGTAGTAGAAAAGTACGCAAAGTAGGTAATTAGTAGTGAAATTCCTTTTATAAATTCTAATGTATTTGCAGCAAATCTGGCATTTTAAACGAAATTTTGAACGTAATACTGGTATATCTCCGTGAATTACGTAAATTTATTGTGCTCTTTAGCTGTATAAAAACTGCAAAATGACTCAAAATTAAAATAAGACTACTATGAGATCGATTTTAAAACAATTTATGTTTTCATCAGTTAAATGTGCTTCATATGCATATACAAATAAACATATTGCATAAAAGCTTATACTTTTATTTCACACAAAGCTACACTTTTTCCAAGTAAATTTGCAAAGAAGCAACACGGTGCCGCTGCTAAGGGAGCGGTGCGAGAGAGACGACTGTCAGTTTATCGAACCTTGTATTATTGAATCATGGGCAAGCGCGGAAGCCAAAAGTTATCGGAAGGGGAAAACGAAGTCAACAGAATAGTGAGATTGTATGTGTGACAGTGATGGAAAATGAGTGTGCATTGTGCCATTTTCGGCCCTTTCGGAAGCAGCCGGCACCTTCAGCACAATCGATTGATTTTCGGCACTATTTTTGCGTAACTCAATACAATTAATAAATATTTCTTTCGGATCCGCAATTAAAAATATTTTTTTTACATTTAATCGTATGTGCTTAAACTGATAAATGATATAAACATAGAAACGCAAGCAGAAGAATCTCGCTTCCACATTCTGCATATGCGCTTAACACTTTTGTTTAAACAAATTTGTCGAAATTTCATCTCTAAAGCAAATATTAAATATCATTTAATATATACTTTAGATTTAAATAATCATTTTTAGTGGTGGGCGAGTCCGAGATATTTAAATGATCGAGAAAGTACATTCAATTCGCGTAGATTTTTGAGAAATTTTTTCGTTGAAGGTGTTGCACTTTTTTTCCATACTGAAATTTGTGTACATCATTTATCATTGTCTAAGAAAAACTATAAAATAAAGCTTAATTTAAAATATTGGAATAAAAAACAACAACGCTACACGCGCACTCATCCATATAACATAAAATGCGAACGTTCGTTATATGGAAGAAAGTGCGCAACACCGCAAACAGAAAAATTCAAAAAATCAATGGTATTTTCTAGATACTTCAAACTTGCACCTTATTATACTAGATTGAATGGGCTACAAAATTGTTAACCCAAAACATGTCTACAAATTCTGAACAAAAACTGTGAAAATTTGATGAAACTTTGTTGATTTTTTTCATTCTTCCAAGTTTCGATTTATTTACAAGGTTTTTGTTTGATAATGAGCTACAATTTTATAAAAAAAAATAATTAAAATTATTAAAAAAAAAAAATAAATTCCGGGTGACCGTGTAATTTTGTCAAAGATGGAGACAATGATGATAAAACATTAATACATAAAATGAGATCACTATCGATAAAATGGAAATCCTCAAGGGAAATTTATAATTTCAACGCATGGAATTTACATACATTTTTTTACTTTCAACCCCCGAATTGCTCAATTACTTATATTTCTGCAGGATCGCCATTAGGTAAATTGCATTTCCAAAGATTTTTTCAAAATAAATAGCGATGAGGGATATTTTACCCGCCGGTGATAAGAAATCGCAATCACCATAACGCACATCACTAATATTACTGTTCACAATCACGTTTACATTCAAAATTACAATTCATAATTTCGTTTTGTAGCAAATATGAAATATAGGTACGGTGACCATATTTATGAGAGCCGTATACGGGACAAAAAATAATTTTTCAAATTTTTTCCACAACAGCTTACAGATTATAAAGCCTTCTTCAATGATCCTGGATGAATTAGCCCTGAAACAGTATCATTTTAGTAATACCACAAATTTTTAGGATAATTTTCTCGAGAGTTTTACCGCGTAAAATTTCAGAAAAAAAATCGTTAAATTTAAGTCGCTAAGGCGTACCATTAATTTTTAGCAATTTGTTTTTTTGTTGACGATGCTACGCATTTTTTCATACGAAGTAAGTATGTTCGACGATTTTTTGAAAGAGAAGCAAATGAGCAGCACTTTACACTCATACTTTATTATACTCAATTTTAATGTGTTACAAAACTGCAAACCAAATTTTTTTCTGAAGATTCTAGTAAAAAATTAAAATTTTGGTGAAACATTGCAGAATTAATTTTTATAGTTTTTTACACAAAGGTGGAGATTTGGTATTAAATATATGATTTTTGATAGGAAAAGATATTTACTTTCATAAAATAAATAATAATAATTAAATAAACTAAGGCAAAATAGCCAAAACTTTCTAAAATGTGAAGTCCTAATTTCTATTTTGGCCAACGTATGTATTCCTTTATTCGAATCAGAGGCATTCAAATTGGAAAATAATAACTGTTTATTGAAAAAATTACTATCATATACTAACATTATTTGAAACTCGTTCATAGGCATGCCATTTTAATGACCTGTTAAGGCGTCGAAGTACCGAATACGGGACAAATACAGGACATTAAAAGAAATACAGAACATTTGCCGTTCCGTTTAAAATAAACAAATTACCAGGACAATGGGTCATAAAAGAGGACTTTCCCGTATAATATAGGATGGATGGTCACCGTAAATATAGGTATATTCATTTACTTAAATGTAAACGGATTAAGAATCAAAGTGCTAGAAGAGATTTGAGCGTTTGGTACAAAAAGTATTTGTGATGTTGAAATCGTACTTAAAATCGGCAAATTGTACTTTTTTACTCTTAAAATTAAGTGTACTGAAAAAAGTACAATTGTACTTAAAATATCAACACTGTTTCACTGGCGTGACAAAGTACTTGCTGCAGCGACGCCAGATTTGAGCGTACCCAATTTTTTACCAATAATAACTCATGCGAGGGATTTGGGTATTGGGCATTTTACAAGCCTATTAGGACGTATACATATCTGTGTTCGTATAGAATAGTAGCTTATGTCGGAAGACTGGCTTTAATATAATGAACCATTCGCAGCATACGATTGCGAAAGACTCCCTGGCGCCGAGTCATTGAAGAACTCTTGGAAAATAAACGTAAAAGAGGCAGTTGTGATGCTAGCAAGTCAATATTCGTATAAAGTCTCATAAAAAAATTCCTTGTGGTTTAAAGAATATAGGAAATGGTCGCCAATTAGAACTTTTGCTTTAAAAGAAAAGTATACATAGCGCATTTACTCAATACTTGGTCTGGCATCACAGTTTGAGGATTGATGTGCTCAGCTCACTGTTGCCAAGGTCGTGCATTTTGCACGCTAGTGCTTTTGGGAAACCAAAAAGCCAAAATAATTGGAATTCAATGCTTGATGCGGTATTTAGTGATGCTTTTTTAATTTAAGCACACCGAATGCATAGGTACATATTTATGTATGTATACACTATACACTAATATTCTACATTGAGATGGAATTCATTTACTGAATAAAATGTGAGGAATAGGTAAATTAATATGTTTTGCGTTGTTATAAATGTATTGAAATTAATTTATTAATAAAAACTTGAGGAAATGGATATGTATATACACTTTTTACTGAATAAAAAAATTATTAAACATGATAGTAAAAACTTGGCGCTTTTGTTTTGGAAAAATTGGCTTTTTCTGGTGGCCTGATGCCACACTGGCTCAGTTGTCGCAAAAGTACACATACATACACGCATTTTTACTTGAAAATAAGTGTGTTGTGGTTAATACCCTGCAGGGAAACCGCGGACTAGTGAATAAAATTTCTAGTTCCGTACTAGGTCTTTATCGCCAAAAAGGAACTAGTCCGATAGGAACTAGATCACCCACCAGTCCAAAATCGGCGAAAAGTGGTACTTTTAAGAAACCAATTTTTTTCAGTTTTTTTCATTAGAAATCCATATCTAAAGTGACGAATTTAGAAATGGTTCGGAACTATAGAAAAAGGGATGCAGAACGAACTAGATCCTATTTGTCGAATTTAGAACTATTTCCGAACTATCGAATAAGGGATGCAGCGGGGGC